AGTAATTTGCTGTGTGGTTAAAGAACACAAGAGAAATTGGTCTCAGGAGCTTGAAGATTGTGGGAAAGAATGATAGTCTAAAAGTGGTCCAAAGTATTAGAAGAATGAGAAAGAACAGATGATGGATGGAGCCCAGTGGCTAAGAGAGGCTTGTTTAGAAATTTTGGGAATCCTATTGTAGGAGGCATGGCCCACAAACCAGGAAGGGAATGAAAATGGAGACTACAGGAAGTTCTCTCCCCAAATTCAGTAATTTGTAGGAGAAAGACAATGAAGGAGAAAGGGCACTGCGGGGGTAAGACCCCTGTGGAGCAAACAAGAGGCGGGATGAGGCCAAAGCAGAATGGGGTTGTTGAAGTTGTGGCACCTTGGAAATGTTGGAGGCAAGCATGGAGACGAAGAGGCATTGCAGGGGAGGAAAGGCCCTGAAAGAAAAACAACTGCTGCCGCCAAAATGGCAGAATAGAAATGGTAGGATGGGTAGGAGTGAATTTACACAGCCAAAGGGTTCAGTACAGTAAGTTGGGGACAAAGAAACTAGAAATGGTGTGAGTCACAAAGGGATTAGGTATCCATGAAAAGACTACTGAGCCACTGAGTGGTGCAGAGATGGAAAGAAACGCAAGACAAAGCAGCGTCTCTCCATACAAAAGTGGGACAAAATGTCCAGATGTGCCATGCAGGAGGCAGACAAGACACCACAGGGTACAAGGTAGGATCTTAGTTGGGGGATTTGGGCAGAGGGAACCTTATGAACTTGTGAGGGATTTATAATTGGTAAGGGGCCCATGAAGAAACGGTGAAAGTGGAATAAAAGTTCCAAACTAGATCCATCTGCAGATGTTGGAAAGTCAATCTTCCTGAAAGCAAATGGTTGCAGCAGAGTGTGCTGGAAACTAAGAGGACGGCAGTGTCCTGAGCACTGAGAGCCGGTTAGGGAGGGAGCTGACCGCACAGGTGACCACCGCGTCCATCTGATGGTCATGAATGCAGCGGAGCAGTATGTACGAGGCGGGCAAGCACAGTGGACACAGCACAAGTGGACAAGACAAAATGAGTGGGTAGGGGGCATTTCAAGTGCACTTGGAAGAGAGAGGATCTATTTAGGAATGGCAGCAAGAAAGACGACTGGTATGGATGATGAGGGGCCTAACAGGAAGCAACAAAGAAGCTGGACAGATGGGGACAAACATGGACAGAGGGACTAGTAGGAAGTTGAGTGTGGTTGAAGCAAAGCAGATTGTAAGGAGGGCTCCTTGACTCTGAGCTTGTCATGCAGTGGTGGTATGGAATCCTAGCATGCTCATGGGTAGCTAAATTGGAGAAATACACTTTCTGAGTTTATAAGGCCTGCTGAAACAAACATTAGTGATAAAGGCAAAATGGTGGCTGAGAAGTATTTTTCTACCAAGCCTGACTTTTGGGTGTTTTTTTTTTTTTACATTTGAGTAAAAGTTCAGGTGGAATGCTTAGCTTGAAAGAAAGCAAAGTCTTATCAAGGGTATCAGTAAGATCCCAAGAGTGTGTGGAGGTGAGCCACAGTTCAAAAGTCTTCATTGAAGTTGTGGATTCAGGACAGAATGCTGGGGGCAAAGCCAGTGAACACTGAAGAAAACATGGATTTGGGGGGGGGAGGGAGGAGTAGAGTCTCAGAGGAGAGTTTGGAATTGATCAGCTTGCTATGGAACTTTTGTCAAGAGGGAAGTTGAAAGGTCTGTAGGCAAATAATTGAGAACTAAATTATATATGAAGGAAAATGAATTGTGATACGGCAAGCCAAATCCCTACTGACAAACAGGCCAAGAAGCTCACATACATGTCCTATTAAACTTCATGGTGGGATAGTTTCTCTTTAAGGCTATCATAAAATGTGTTGTTTTCATTTGTTATAATGGTTCCAGACCATGAGAAATCGGATGTGAGAAAGCCTGACAGCTCAGAAATAAAAGGAACACAGGAATTAGAATGGAACAAATCGTTGTTACATAGGTAGGTATAGTACATTACAGAGGTCCAAGGGAAGGAGAATTGGGAGCATGCTGCATGTTGGTGTTGTTAAGTGCCGTTGACTTGGTTCCGAATTCGATCCTGCTGTCTGATGCATTATCCTGCGCCAGAACTCCAGAGTGTTGTAGAGATGAGTGTGAGTGTAGAGATAGTGTTACAGAGGAAAGAAAGTGGCCGAGAGTAAATGCTAAGGAATGCTGCCCTAAATGCTTTTTAAAACAAAAGACAACAAATAGGGCTAATTAGATTGAGATCTTTGATGCCATGATTTGAGGGAAGGAGATAGACTGGGCCAAAGCAACTTTTTCCTAATAGGGTAGACTTTGTTCAAGAAAGCTAGAGAAATGGGAAAGTTTAAAAATACAGAAAAGAATAATTGGAAGAATTACTTTCTGAACGAGATTGGAGGTGTGTGTTGTTGGAACCTGTAGAAAACCTGGTTTTAGAAAGAATAAAGGGAGAAAGTGGGTAGTTTCATAAATGAAACCAATAATAGCTTCCATTAATTGAAGGTTTACTATGTGTCTGGTACTGAGTAAATACACGCACCCTGCCTCACTTCATTTCATCCTTACACCTCACAATAGCCCGAAGAGGCTTCTGAAGATGAAGTTCACAGTCAGGATGGGGCAGAGTCTGGATTCAAATCTACACCTGTCTCTAAAACCAATATGCTTTTCTATTAGGCTATTTAGTGTTTTCAAGTTCAACTTGAGATCACAACTAATTACATATTGTTTCCTGTGACTGACACAAAATTTCTGAGATGAGGCAAGTAGAGGTGACGTATAGATCTTGAGGTAACTGATAAAATGTGAACTGTCTGCGCTAGGAAATGACAAAAGAGAATGGATGGGTAAAAGACTGCTTTCTTACCATCTATGCCCTGGTATTGCGTGTCTTTCTGTTGTACAGCAAAGGCTGGATTGGCCATCGATGAAGAATTTAAGAACCTCTGACACACACTAAAGAGTAGGAAGGAGTTTGAATTTAAGCAGGTATACAATGGACCAGATAGACCACTAGCAAAAATTTAAAAGTTCAAACACTGATAGACAATTCCATTTTGTTTCGCCAAGATGCAATTCTAAGAGTTTATAACTAAATCCCGGCACTCACCAAGAAACCCTTTAACAATAAAGGAAATTCTCTAAATATCACATTTTTATCAAAAAAATCTAACCAACTAACAAAAAGAGGCCATAGCTAGCAGACCAAAGGTTGAACCCTCTGGGCTAATTTGTAAAATTGATGTTTTAAAAAGAAATGTGCTCCAGTCAGTCAGAGAGAGGTACGAAACCTTCCTTTTCTCCTTTCTTGGTGGAAATGTTTTCTGTTTGTTCTTTTTCTGTATGGTATTTCTATATTATATTTAATTTCTATAGTGCTGTTTTTGTTTGTTCAATATTGCTGTATTTTGATACTGTAAAACTGTACTTAATGGGATTGTGTTAAGACCACTCCCTGGGATGTGAGGCACCTGCATTATCGGTTATCAAAGTGAACCTGGGAAATGGGAGGAATTGTATTCTCAATGGGTTCAACATGTCCTTTTCCTTTGAAATTAAGTGGTGAAGTATAGAATCCCGTAAAAACAAGAAACTTTGTGAGAAGTAACTAGAGAGCAGAATTGTGAATCCAGGAGAGATAAAGTACATTAGCTCCCAGTACAATGGGAAAAGCCATAGGGCTATATGAAAGACTATGTCCCAGACACCGGCATGAAACAGGGTCAAGCCTAGCTTTACTCAGAAGTATAGTCAGCGTAACTACTGGCTAGTAAGCATACTTCAAACAAAGCTAACCAGAGAGAAAAACAGACCAGGTGAGAAAATGCAATGATAAGGAAACAGAACTAGAGAAGCCTCATGGAGGGACGATGACAGTAAATAAGGTCAATGTAGGGTGGCCAACAGCTCAAAGTAAAACTAACAGAGGCCAGATAGGAAAGTGCCTTCCCACCCAGAACAGATGGATCCAGAGGAAAAGTGCAGTTCCGCCCAGGGCCAGAGGGACAACCTGGGCTTCAGACCCAGCATTGGTGCCAACTCGAATCTACCTCGTGCTAGAATCTGAGGAGCCTGGTCTGCCACCCAACAAGGCCAAGACTGGGCAGGATCTTCCCAGGAAGCAACAGCAAAGAAGGGAGTTGGGAGAGGGGCAAAAAGAAAGCAGGTTAAAAAAGCCCTGATTGTAACTGAATGATGACCAGAGAGAGCTATTTCCTAGTACTTTGATGATTTCTTGTAACTCTGTAACTTCCCCAATATCTGTGGATTTTGTTAACCTGTACTGACTAGTAGTAAAAATTGTGCAAAACATAAATACAATGTGTGTGCTTATTTCTGTGGAAATCGGCTAACAGCGTCTGTTCTGCAGGGAGTCCAGGGAAAGAGTCACACAGGTGGGAAAATGAGGGAAAGAATGCAAGTTCAACAAACACCTGACCTCAAATCCCCAAATTTGCAGATACTATGGTTGGAACTTTGACTCCCTTTCAGGGACCATTTTCCTTTCCACAAAGCAATAGTTTAGTCACTGCATATGGGTCAAGTAGGAAGCTAAAAAGCCTTTCTCAAATGTGGATACACTATGATTGGCTAAGCCACTCACTTTGCGACTTGCTTACAGAGGACATAAGACCCTCAAAGGTGATATATTTTCAAATGCCAAGCAGCTACTGGATAGCCACATCCTTAGGGTGCTCTGGAAGGATCCCCCACAGGAGACATACGGTACATGGACCTCACTAACACTAGCATGGTCCACAGAAAGGCGGAGTTCCTGTTTGGGCGGCCGCTCTATGCACGCCAAGTTTCTTTTTTTCAGACTAGATAGCTAGCAAATCCTACTCAGTTTTCAAATGAACATTTCTGCAACATAACCAATTTTATAACTAGTCACATATGTATATATTCATTATCACTACATTCTGGAGAAGAACTATATTCTTCAACCCTGACAAATATTTTCACCCTGCTGGGGGTCGGTACCTGCTGTGGGGTCATCATCAGGCAAATGAACAAGAGTGTAACATATTCCTGGTTGATTGTACATGAGGCTGGGGGCTGGGACATAGCACATCACTCCGTAGGAATCGGACGGCTCCATTTGTACTGTCACTTTCTCCAGTAGTTGGTCATTGAGAGTATTGGTACAGTCAAACTGAAAAGTCAGCACAAGGAAAAGTCGTAAAGGATATGAACGATTTGCAGCGAGCTGTTCCTTCTCTTCTATTACTTGTGACTCAGTGCTAGAACCCTTGATACCAGGGGAACTTTTGGCCCATGCACCCTTAATAAGGCCTGTAAGATCATCTGATCTGGCCCTGCCAAGGCAACCACGGTGGCAGCCATCCCATTAGGAGTCAGTTAATTCAATGTTTGACCAAATACAGCAGGCTATTTTTTAAGGTAATAATTTTGTGTGGCCCGCAAATGATGTTACAAATTTTGTAAGAAAAAAGGTTCCCCACCCCCTGCTCTATACCTTCCTTTTCTAAACAGCCGTAATAGGTCTCCTAAGATTTTTCTTTTAACATCAGAGATAATCCTATTTGGGTTTTGTTGTTTGATTAGTGATCTATTAGTTTTTTTCTCTTTCTTAAGACCGAGTTTTACCAAACTAGGTGGTGAAAGTCTGCTGGCTGGCTGAGAATCAAGTTAAAACCCACGTTCTTAGAAAAACTCCCTGACTTTACCCTGAAGTTAACAGGTGACTGTTGTTTTAAGGCTGTACTTTATGGTGCACAACTTCTCCATACATTTCTGTTGTATGGATTTTTAGATTTTAGCCATTGAAAAGTTACCCATCTCCATAGCTATGAAGTTAGAACAGGAAAACAAAAATCCTGCCCAGTTATTAGTTCTCTAGAGGGAACTGGAATTATAATAAACTCAGTGGAAATTCAACTTGTCTCCATGCATACCAGTGTTCACTAAATCCCTACGGGAGGCGCTCATCTCACCTGGAACACAATATGATTGGTAAACATGTGTTTGATACAACGAACAAAATATTCTGTCTCTGCTTCTGTCAGCTGAATAGGCTCAGAAGACTTGAACAAGGGTCCTAGGTTCATAAACTCAGGAATGGCAGCCAATTGTTCTAGCACGAAAAAGGAGAGAAGAAAGAAATTAAGATAATAAAAAGGCAGGGGCAGATACTACTCTGGGTTCCTAAAATACCATAAGTAGTTTCTACAGCGTTCCTACTAGCTGACTACTAGTTACTGTCCAACTGTTATCAACATACCAACTAATATATTCTCATCTCAGGTTTCAATAAACTGTAATCATATCTTTAGCACACAACTTTATAAACTGACTTAACAAAACAAAAAAGGAATTGAAATTCCTAATTTCATTGAATTTGAGTTCCCTGGGAGTGAACAAGACCGAGTCAAAACAATATGCCCAGACAGCCAAGGCTAACAAATTGGAAAGTCCCGTGGTCATTAACTGTGAAAGCTCTCTATTCAATTATAGAAACGTTTCTTTAGTGAAAATTAAACTGAACTAAAGCAGCACACTTTACTATGCTTACAATACCCAGGAAGCAACACAAATACTTCTACCATCAAATCGTCTTACCTTGGAAAATGTCTTGCCTGGAAGGAGCCAACTTTTCTGGCTTATTAGCCACAAGTGTGATTTCTACAAATACAGATATGAAGAATCAAGTAAGCATCTGCCCCACTATAAATAAAGTTATCAAAATGCAGACACAACAAGATGAGGGTAGACACCTGGAACAGACACAAACTGGCTATTGTTCAGCTACACCAATAGGCTTTCTGTCACAACGCACAAATTAAAATAGATTTAATGATCACAGTTAGTGAAAATAATAAAGCAAGCCTTAAACTGTAGACTCTGCTTTAAATGGGCTGGATGCACAAACAATTACTCAGGAAAGGAGTAACAGTTAATAAAACACATCCTCTCACAGTCCATGTGGGGGAATCACTTGTAGAGCGCCAACAAATCAGCTGTGAAAAGTGTTGAAAATTAAAAAGAAGATCTTTCATTCTCGGTCCTGTGGTCTTACCATTATTTATTTTTTAAGTTTTAAAGTTAGTATTTGAAAGTATTTTTTACCATCTTGTCCTATACATTTTCAAGATGAACCGCCAAGGGCACCATTCATCAACTAAGAGACTGCCAACCTCAGAACAAAACAGAGGAGGTGGCAGGCTGCTGGCTGTTCTCAGGTGTACAGTGACAGCCAGTGAACTTCAATGACATCAATAAAACAAACAAAACAAAACAAACACTTCTATCTGGGGGAACAGTTCATATTTTTGCTTTTCTACAAATATTAGGACCTTTTTAGAAACCCCTAATGGAAAAAAACTTAGATCTGAACATTTTAGAGGAAGTGATAGAATTAAACAACTATCAGAAACAAAGTATGCTAATAGCCATTATTACCCAACTTACTGGTGTATACTACTTGAACTCAGAAAAACAAACAGGGTAAAAGCCCCATTACCTGCTTTCTGTTCAAAGACAGGCGTCATAGCAAGAGGAATAGATTTCATGTCAAAGGGTTTTTCAGAAGGCTCCAGCGTGTACTGGTGTAGAGCTTTCTCCATCCCTGGTACTGAGACTGTCAGACCTGTGGCACACATAGAAATCTCAGTATTGTAACCTCTCGTCAGCCCTGGGATCCAGAGAGGCTCAGATCTGTAACATATATCTAAGCTTTGAAAGAAGAAAAAATATCTCCACAGACTTCACAAAGCTAAATAATTACAAATAGAGGCTATTAGATAAAACTACCTTACACCTTCATTTAGGGAGAAGAGTAGAAAGTAAAAAATCGCAAGCTTAAGTACCTCCCAGGGAAGAAAGCCACTTAGGCCTAGGGAATGATGCTTAGTGAAAGGGGAGAAAGCAACCCATTCAAGAGGGAGGACAAGGACAACTAGGGACAACTGATATCTCTGGGCTCTATGTCACTGGGGTAAGCGCTGGGCTGCTCACCATTAGGCCAGTGGTTCAAACCCACCAGTTATTCTGCAAGAGAAAGATGTAGCGATCTCCTTCCACAAAGAGTTGTTGTTGTTGTTGTTGTTGTGTGCCATGGAGTCGGTTCTGACTCATAGCGACCCTGTACAGGGTTTCCTAGTCTGTCAATCTTTACGGGAGCAGAAAGCCTTATCTTTCACTCACGGAACAGCTGGTAGTTTTGAACTGCTGACCTTGTGGTTCACAGCCCGATTCATAACCACTACGCTATGAGAGCTCCTTAAAGATTATAGGCTTGGAATCCCTAGGCAGCTCTACTGTCCATGGGGCTGCTATGAGTTAGAATCAATTCAATGGTAGTGGGTATTCTTGTAGTTTCATGGAAATTACCAATACCAAATTAGAAAACAGCCTCGTGCATACAAGTTTTCCCTAGAAACTCAAATACATTCAAATATAAAGACCAAGCACTTTGCCGAGTGAAGACAGCTTACACACAAATCGTAAGATATGCTTCCAAGACACCATTTGGGAAAAATAAGCACATTTGTCTACATTCTCGGTTCCCCACTGACCATTGAAGATGTATGTAGCATTCAATGCCATCTGTCTCTGCTGCAGCACATTCAGGTAGAAGGTAGCTCTGTCCCGTACTTCATCATCTGTATCCATCATACACCTGTCCAGAGGAATCAGAAGAACCATGTCACCGCACCCCAAAGGTTTCCAACAGCTTTACCACATACCGGAAGGGAACAAGTCAGGCCATATGATCCTATCTCCATTAAAGACACAAAAATAACTAACAGTGGATCCCAAAGCCTCCACAAATCCTGGGGACTGTTCTGAATCACTAAGGAAATCGTGGTACTGTGAATCAGAAGCACTCCACAGTAGGCAATAAAATAACTAGGAAGGAAAAAAAAAAAAAAAATAGGAAGAACACAGTAACAGAGAGAGTAGTTTGGAATCCATTCTTGGATCTGCAACTACTTGATCCTGGTAAAGATTTGCATGTTCCTATAATTATGAAGGAGTCCCGGTATGGCACTGTGGGTTACAGCGCTGGACTGCAAAGCTGGTTTGAACTGCAAGGTCAGCGGCTTAAGCTCACCGGCCACTTCTTGGAAACCCTACTATACAGGGTCTCTATGGGTCTGAACTGACTCGACGGCACTTAACAACATAATTATGAAAGTCAGTGGTTCAAACCCACCAGTACTCCTCAGAAACCTATACAGGGTAGCTATGGGTTGGAACTGACTCGGCGGCACCTAACAACAACAACAACAAAATTATGAAAGGACTTCAAGTGTGATGCTACAGGATCAGCCCTGGACTGCGAACCACAAGGTCCATGGCTGAAGCACACCAGCTGCTCCTTGGAAACCCTATACAGGGTGTCTATATGAGTCAGAACCACTCAATGGCACTTTAACAAGGACAATAATTATGAAACAGGAACAACATAGTTTGTAAGGAAACGAAGAAGATAAATAGACTGAAACTCCAGGTGCTGTTACAACGCCAATGGTGATCTGCTTTATTTAAATGAACCATCCTCTGGCTTAAAAGTTATCTGCTTTAAATATAAGATGCAATCACAGATAGGGAGTCCTGGAGGCCAGGGAATACCGATGCTTCCCACTTAGAATAGCGAATCACCTGGGGAGCCCCAGTGATCAGCTCCAAGATTTCTTTGGAGTTAGCTCCTACTATACAAATGTTGTTGTGGTTAAGTGCTATGGAGTCAGGTCCATCTCAAAGCAACCCCGTGTCTAGGGTTTCCAAGGAGTGGCTGGTGGGTTTGAACCACCAACCTTGCAGTTCAAATCGGCCATGAAATCCAGTGCATTATCCTGAAGCCCCACACATTCTCAAAATCATGCAAGAGAAATTCAGAGACAAATTTTATGGATATCATTGAATACTACGCATATCACTAGAAGGAGGGAAAATGCCATTTGTCTATGACTTACTACATCAACTCTTTTCTTAGGCCCTGCAATGCATTTGCTATGACACAATGAAGAATTTTCTATTCAGCCATATGGAGCAGTAATTTATTTTACACAAAAACAAAGCACATTCTCTTACTTACCTTTGTAAGAGTACGAGGATGCTTGGAAGAAGATTCTCATTCTGAGCCCCAAATTTAGCCAAAGCACTCACAGCAGCTATGATGAAGCAGAAAATAAAGGCGCATCAATGTTGTTGTCTCAGAATTAAACAATAACCATTAAAATAAACAGAAAGATTTCCTCATGTTCAAAATGCGTGAACTCCCATTGTTTTACCGTGTGTTCTTTGGTCTTATTTCTTTGATACAATCATGCATAAACAGAATTTCACATGTCCTAAAATCAGAGCGCTCTGAATGGGAAAGCTCTTCATGAATTCTGGAAAAAGGACCATCAATATTTCCTTTATGAGCTAGCCTGCACCTTCACACCTCTGATACAGAGATGCTTAAGATCTGATCTTAAACCACCAACCCAAATACAGAGAGAAACTCTATTATTAAAATTCACCTCAGTCAACAAAATCTATCCTTTGCCTACATTTTTTTTGGAATTGTGCTAGGTGCAGGGGTAGAGAGATAAAAGGCATTAGTGGGAGAGACTGGGCAGGAAAGAGCTCATTACAACAGAGCACAGTAAATCCGCGGTAGAACGAGACCCAGGAAGCTGCCTGAGTACAGAGAAGGGGGCAAGATGGCAAAGAGCTGACACAATGCTTGAGCTAAATTCTGAAGAAGAAAGAGAGACGGTCAGAGGGGAAAGTCTGGAAAAGAATACCAGAGGCAGACTCTAACAAGCACCCCAAAGTCCACTGCCTTCAAGTGTATTCCAACTCAGAGTGACCCTCTAAGACAGAACAGAAATGCCCCATAGAGGTCACAAGGCTGTCAAGCTGTAGAGAAGCAGAATGCCACATCTTTCTCCCATGGAGCAACTTCTGGGTTTGAACTGTCAACCTTCTGGTTAACAGTACTTAGCCACTGTATACCACAGGGCTCTTATAGCAAGTGCAAAGGTCCTAAACCCAGAGACTGCAAGCAGATCAAAAAGGCTGCCACATGGGACCCATGTTTGAGGGCAGGAGATAAGTGAGACAGTGCAAGTCGGAGATTAAAAGACAGGTTCGAGGTTAATCTCCAAGTTATCATTAAAGGATTTTAAGAACAGAATAAATTTGTGTATCTGAAAGACAATTTCTGTGGCAGAGTGTGAAGACTAGGTAGGGCATATGTAAGAAGTTGTCAGCTTGTTAGAAATCTGAAATGGATGCAAGTCAAAAGCAGCATCCATGAAAACTGAAAAGAGAATAAAAAAATATTCAAGAGTCAGAACTGCCAAGACTTTGTCACAAAGTCAATGGGGATAGAACACAAGGAAACGGAGCCGAAGTAAAGATGAGGAGTTCCCTTTCAGTGACTTTGAACTCCAGGTTGAATTTGCAGTGTCTCAGGGAGTTGGACATACAAACTCAAGAAAGAGATCTGAACTCTAACATCACAGCCCATCAAGGAGCTCTGACACTACCATCAGGACGCATTTTGAGGAGTGAGGGAACATGGAGGTTACTGCAGAAGTCAAGGCAAGAGAGAGCGTCAGAAAGTGCTTAGTTCACAGTAAATCAGAGTCACTGACTGGTGATCAAAGATAACATTCAATTGTCTAATGTGAGTTCCAAAGAGTTTAGACGTCATTTTGAAAAGTACCGTTCCAGAGGATTTTTAAGGGGGCACTAGAATATAGTCAGTTGAGAAGAAAATGGAAAACAAGTTCACAGAGGCAGCTAATAAAAGCTACTTCAACTTTATCTGAGAAAGAAAACTACAGTCAGTAACAAAAGATCAAAATGGGAGAAATCTGAACCTGTTCTTATGCTAAGGGAAGGAACCAGGAGAGGAGAAAGTGGAAAAAACATCAAAAGTAAAACCAGTTTAGAAACTCACTTAAACACACACACACTCTAAGGGTTATAACTGCAAATGATGTACGATGCCATCTACCCATTTCAGAGCATTCCTACCACACTGAAAGGCCAGGGGGTTTTGTCTTTGAATCTAAGGCAGAAGTTAGGATGAAAACTGGAGAGGAGAGGAAGAGCTGGGACCTAAGTATACTGTCCTGGCATGGTGCAACAGGATAAGCAGTAGACTGTTAACCACAAACCCACCAGCAGCTCCCTGGAAACCCTAAACAGGGTTGCTTTGAGTTGAACTGACTCAATGGCACTTAACAAGTATGCCTCCAAGATCCCACCAACAACTTCATTTTCCAATTCCATGATCGCCCTTTGAGTTAAGCATGATGTCAAAAGATCAGCCATGAGATCATTATGGGTGTTCCAATGACTCACCAGCTCTGACAGCCTCATTTTCCAAGACGACCCTATTAAAAATAAAGCGGATATACTTGGAGGGGACAGGCGTCCTGGGGCCCTCTTTGCCCAACAAGTGGAGAATCTTAGTAGCCAGAACAGTGTGTTCACAGTCTTCAATGAATTCACAAAGGTGGGCTAGCCCTGATTCTTTACTGTCGGGGTTCTCCTCCACAATGCTGATGATGCAATCCACAATGGCCCGCTTGTACTCAAATCCTCCCTGACAAAAGAGAAGAGAAAACTGCCCTTCAATCTTAGGATCCTTTGTGGAGAAACACTCTCCAAGGTTTATGTCTACAATGTTCCAATTGCATTCCCACCTTTTATGAAAGAAACAGCAGTGTTTTTTTCCTCCAAGTGGGAAAGCCAAAGCACCCATGGATTTAGTGACACCAAGGGAGCATCACACTGGAGGCAGACTAAGCTCCTAGAGAAATCGGCTTAAACACTATGGTGCGTAACAGGCAGGAAAGGGAATTAAGACAGCACCGCCCCAGGGCAGGGAAGAAGTCCACCTACGTCATCCCGGAGCATGTTCGAGAGGAAAGCCATCATGACGCCATGCTTGCGAGGGTACTTCTGACAGAGGGCGCTGATTGCCTGTACAACCACCACCTGAGGAAAAACAGAAGAGATGGTCATCTTCACAACTAGCTAGTGGGTTTATGTGCTTGCTTACTTACCACACGACGGCACTGTGGTTACACAGAGTGACAAAAATGGTTCTACATGGAAGATGAGCAAAGAGACCTTGAAGGCACATAAAGAGCAATGTAAAAATGAAGTTCAATCAGGGCAAAGGACACAACATTATTAAAGTGAATTATAAATATGAAAAAGTTAAACAGATTGCCTTTCACAGAGAAAGAGCAAGTTATTAACGAAGTACTTTACCCAAGAATATCAGAGTAAATGACTGTTAGGGAAATTTTACCAAAATTGTAGGGACCATTGCCAAGAACTTTCACTCTACTTGCAAGCTAACAAGTTAGCCTGCCACAGTTTCATGGATGCTACTAGAAACCAGGAGTCTTGGTGCGCTGCTGTATGGTAAACACTGCACTGCTAACTGCAAGCTTGACGGTTCTAACGCCCCAGCTACTGCTTGGAAACCCTAGATAGGGTTGCTATGAGTCAGAACTGACTTGATGACACTTAACAACAACAAATAGAAAACAAAAGATTCTGGGTCAGAGAGGAAACACACCAGTTCCAAGTCCAACAGAGTCCTAGTGGCACAAGTAGCTCAGCTGCTAACTGCAATGTCAGCAGTTTGAACCCACCAGTCACTCCACAGGAGAAAGATGTAGCCATCTATTCTAACCTTAGTGTAGCTCAGAGTTGGAAGAGACTCAACAGGTTTGGTTTTGTACACGTTCCCTGAGCCCCAGTTCCCACAGCTGCACCTGCAATAGGTCGCTTTACAGGAGAGCTCTAAGCTACAGAAGGTGAACCATTTAGAGTGGGCAGTAACCACGTGTTCTCTTCTTTTTTAACACTCTATTCTAGAGGGGGCACTAACTGTATCTTCCAGGGCTGGAAGGAACCTTGGCCTTCGCTCTGGAGAGAGACACTGTACCTCCCAAGGCTGCAGATACCTTGCACTGACTGCACAAAGAATTTATTAAGTTAAGACACTAAACAGCAAAGGGCAGTTCCAGCCTAACTTGAAAGATGTGGAGATATGTAAAAGGCCTGTGAAGAATTGTTTCCCAACAACCAGATGGTCTCAAATCTATACACATTGTTTCAAAACATAGAAAACGAAGGGGAAAAAATTCAACATCATTTTATGAAAAACTCTTTTATGATCCTTTACCCTGATAAATACTCATTTGGGCCCAAATATAGGTGGAAGACAGTGTCCAAAACAGTCACAAGCAAAAGGCCTCTTCCCCTGCCCTTTCCACCACATTGGAAGTCCCTGGCGGTGGTGGTGGTTATGTGCTGTGGAGTCGGTTCCGACTCATAGCGACCCTGCATAGGGTTTCTGAGGCTGTAAATGTTTACAGGAGCAGAAAACCTCATCTTTTGCCCACAGAGCAGTTTGGTAGTTTCAAACTGCCGAAGTTAGATTAGCAGGCCTACTTGTAGCCACTATGCTACCAGAGATCCTTTGGAAGTCCCTAGTTTAGGTAAATAAAGAGGCTGTGGTGAGAAAATTACAATTTCCAGCATAGACTGTGGAATGAAAAGTTGTAGCCACACTGTTCCCTGGAACTGCAGTCTTATAGAGAGGTACTTCTAATAGCAGAGAAGCCTGCTCCTCAAGGTCAACAGCTCAAATCCACCAAGCACTCCACATGACTTACCTCCACAGAAATCCTATAGAGGGTCGCTGTGAGTCAGAACAGACTCAACAGCACAGGAAAACAAGCCCAATAAAGACAGGCAATACGTTAAAAAGAAAAATTAGAATCCAAATGAATTAGGAATTTTGATGCAAAGTAAACAACTATAAAAAGTAAGCTATTAGAAAATGACCTATAATACTACTACATTAAGAAAAGAATACACCACACTGAAATGGGATTTATGTCAAGAATGCAAGGATAGCTCAATATTAAAAAATTAACGTTACTCACCATATTAACGAGTCTAAGAAAAAAATCCTTACATACACAACCAAAGATGCTGAAAAGCCTTTAATAAAATTCAAATCAAAATTCTAATAAAAATTCTTGGGATGGAAGCTTCTTTAAGATAATAAAATATCCACTTCAGTTCTAATGGCAGCATCTTATTTAATGTAAAAATGTCCAGCGGCTTTTCTATTAAGGTCAGAAGCAAATGTCCTACCGTTTAACATTATTCTGGAGATACTAGCTAATGCATTTAGATAAAAGAAAAAAATTAGAGAAATAAGAATTGGAAAAGAAACAAAACTATCTTTATTACAGATGACATGATAGCGTACTTGGAAACTCTGAAGAGACTCAATGACAAAAGTAACTCAGTAAGTTAATGAGGTATAAAATTTGCCTATAAAAACAGTTAACATTCACATGCAGCAATAATAACCATTTAGATGATATAATGTATGAGAAAAATCCCACTTATAATATCAACAATAAAAAAAGATAAAATACTTAGGAATAAGCATTTTTTAAACATCATAATTTAAAATGATACAGAAATACTATAAAGCATACTTGAAAGACACAAAGACTTGAAGAACTAAAAAGACATCCTTAGAAGTCCTTGGTATCACGCTTTAGCATAAGCACTGGACTACTTACAAACTGCAAGATCAGCAATTCAAACCACCAGCTGCTCCATGGGCACTCTACACAGGGTTATCATGAGTTGGTACTGACTCAACAGCACACAACAACAACAACAGTGCTTGAGTTAGGATGTCTTGTTATCAAGATGTCTGTTCTCCCCTAAGTTAACTTATAAATTTAATGTTAGCCCAATAAAAATGTAAGATTTTTTATGAAGCTAGACAACAAGTTCATACTAAAGTTCGTAAAAATACAATGACAAAACAGAAAAACATTTGACAATAAAGAGCTATGGACAGGGGAGCGCCTCTATATTTGAAATAGTGCATGGTACTGGTATATGACTAAGGAACTCTAGGAGTTCTGGTGTGGCACTGTGGGTTAATGCGTCAGACTGCAAAGCTGTTTGAACTGCAAGGTTGGTGGTTCAAGCTCACCACTCACCAGCTGCTCCTCAGAAACACAGGGCCGTTATGGGTTGGATCCGACTCGACAGCACTTTACAACAACAGCAGTAGTATAGTGGGTTATGCTGTTGAATCCACCAGCTGCTCTGTGGGACAAAGAGGACACTTCCGCTCCCATAAAGATTTACAGTCTCAGAAACCCTAGACAGGGCCGTCGCTCTGAATTGGAACAGACTTGATAGCTCACAGCAGTAGCAGTGGTGCATGAACTGACCAACAGAAGAGAACAGAAAACCCAGAAGTCGACCCGAGGACCTAAGAAACATTAGGGCCTGATAAGGATTATATCTCAAATCACTGGGGCAACTGGATAGCCACTGGTCTTTTAACTATAACCTCTGGGGACAACTGAATTGCCACTGCAAAATTAAGACTTATTTCTTACATCATGGTGATGGTACACAGCAAGGCATTCCAATGGGTCAGAGGCCTGCCTACATGCAGAAACTGGGCCATCCATGAACTAGAAGACAATGAGTAAATACCTCTGTAACTGAAAGGAGAAGTCTTTGTTATTATGACTCAAAAGCCAAATGCAATAAAGGATTAATAAACATGACTACATGACCAAAACTTTTTTTTTCAATTTTCCATGACATAAAACACTATAGTCAAAGACAAGTGACAAATTGAGAGAAAACATCTGTAATTTGTTTTACAGTTAAAGGGCTAATATCCCTTCGATCCCTAGTAAACAAGAACATTACATAATTGAAGAAACAAAACCAAAAATTCCTATAGAAAATGGGCAAAATTATGAGCAGATCATTCACAGAGAGAGAATAAATGGCCCTTATTAAGATGAAAAGACATTCCGCTTCTCTCACAAGAGAAATTCAAATTAAAACTACAAGGAGATACCATTTCTCAGCCATCAAACTGGCAAAACTTTGAAAGCTTAATAATATACTCTCCACTGGTGAAGCTATGGAGAAATTAGTACCCTTATGCACTGCTGCAAGGAAACAGCATTGTCTACAAACCCCTGCTTTTAACCCTTTGACCTAGTATATCCGACTTCTTGGGATTTAACCTTAAGGTATACCACCAAACCAACATTTAAAAATAATATATATACATATATACAGGGTTATCAATCAAAGCATTATTTGTAATTGCAAACTATTATAAACTAAGTAGAAGATGGATTCAACAGGCATGAAGGAGTACTATGCAGCTATAAAATGAGTGAAGAGCTCTCTCTGATATGGTTCAGAGTGGGTTCCAGTAACTTATGTGGGATGAGGGGGAAGGGCAGAAGGGACATGAAAGTGACCGTTTTCTGAGAATATTTCTTTATATAAGATTTTACTTTAATTCTGTAGAGTAGAAGAATAAAATTAAATCAAGGCTGGGAAAAGGAAAGAAATACTAATACTGAAAGCAAACGGAAACAAATGAATCCATCTGAATTTTTAAAAATTGCATAATCACACTGGGAAAAAACCAAACCAAAGAACTACTAATGCAAATATCTTCCAAAGTCACTGCCGGCAGATCCTGAAGACACTGCTGGTTCAGTTCCAGCCTGGAAGCAAGTCCCACAAACTGTCTGGTCTCCCAGTGCATGATGTCACGCTCCGCTCCAGTCGGTTAGTGTGCAACAGCGCTAAGGAGAAGGTTGGCACCTGGTGAGAATGACCAAGCTGTGTCATGCTGATATGCCGTCAGCACAGGCTATTAGGAAATGGGGCCATGAGACTTGCTTCAACTTGGGAGGGAAACAGCCGTACCTGTGCAGTGCAAGGAAGTGATGAAGGGCATCACACGCAGAATGTCTGTACTTCCTGTGTACCCGTTTAAAGATCCATGATTTTGGACTATATGCATAGAAAACAGCAATAACTGTCACTGATATCTTATACTTAGCTCTTTGTAAGTATGATTTTATTTATACTCCACATTAACCCTATGAGGTAGG